CTGGCAGATGGTGGGAGAGAATAAATGATACCTGGAGGCTGCCCGCTGTTCCTCCTTCCCCACCCTCCTTTTAGGGGCGAGGCCAGGGCACGGTGCAGCCTTTCCATTGAAAACAGTTTTTACACTTGCAGGCGTTTGCTGCGGGCTGTGTTCTTCTGCTCAGTGGCCTAATGAGGCTTCATAATCACAATTCCATTGTTGAAGCAGATGGTGGGAGAGAATAAATGATACCTGGAGGCTGCCCGCTGTTCCTCCTTCCCCACCCTCCTTTTAGGGGCGAGGCCAGGGCACGGTGCAGCCTTTCCATTGAAAACAGTTTTTACACTTGCAGGCGTTTGCTGCGGGCTGTGTTCTTCTGCTCAGTGGCCTAATGAGGCTTCATAATCACAATTCCATTGTTGAAGCAAAATGCAGGACAATGTAGCACTTTAAAGACTAACAAGATGGTTTAGCACCAGTGTTTGTGATTCCCTCTTAATTCCTGGGAGGATAGTCTGTTTTTCAGAGCTGCGATCAATGATGTACAGCAGTCTGTAGATGATAGGAATAGTTGTAAATGTTAGAAGTAATTGTTGGTTGCAATCCTTTTCCTAGGTTTAGAGATTTCTGGGTTAGAGATTTCACTGACAGGTTTCTTGAACAAAATGGTTACTTGAAATTCCATTTCAGTGAGAGTCATTTTTATCTGATGAGTGTAAACATCAGGCTTAAGACAAACTCAAGACAAATATAATTTTTGGCAAATATGGTTTGTATTTCAGATAAATACTAGATAATTGTGGCTATTAGTATAAAATGTTAAGTTTAAAAATAAAAGATGATGAAGATATTTTAGCATAATTTATGCTGATTGTCTAGCAGAGATGTTTGTGCTAAGGAACACCGAACAAAATGTTCAGAGGTGGGTGCTTACAGTCAGGTTTTAAATTCATATTTAGGCATCTGAATAAGTGGTCTGATTTTCTGAAGTGCTGGGTATCTACAGTTCCTATTGAGGTAAGTGCTCAGCTCTTCTGAAATTCAGGTTACTTTTGCTTGGGTGACTATGAACTGAAGGCCTGACTATTCAGTTGAAACAAAAGATAGGACTATGCAGCACTTTAAAGACTAACAAGATGGTTTATTAGACAAGAAAACAAGAAAATTTTCTTCCACAATTTGATCTGAGGATGTGGGATCTGGCCCACGAAAGCTCATCGCCTAATAAACCATCTTGTTAGTCTTGAAAGTGCTGCTTAGTCCTGTCTTTTGTTTCAGCAAGACCAGACTAACACGGCTACATCTCTATTACTATTAACTATGCAGTTCTGAGCAATGGCCACAGTGTCTCTAAATGCTATACAAATCTGTGTATCTAAGGCGTTTATATGACCTCCGTTGCACAATAGTATCAGAGTCTAGCAGTCTTTTATATATTAATCTTCACAGCATCTCTGTGATGTAGAAGTGCTGTTATCTCCATTCTCTGTTCATTTGGGTAACTGAGGCACAGAGAGACTAACGATTTCCACAAGGTCATCCAGGAAGTCTGTAGAAGACCAGGGATGTGAACCCTGCTGAGGCTCAGGGTGTAATGCCTTACCTAGCCATCCTTCCTCTTTCTAAAATGAACACACTTTTTCAGGCCAGCAAATGGTTTAAAGATCAGTGAATGGCTTAGGAATAAAAAGTAGGAACCAGGATACTCCTTAAAGTAATATTTGTTTTGCTCAGGTTTTTATATGGAATAAATTACAGAAAAGGAGGGCGCATTACTCAGTATGTGTCTAGGGATGTAGTTTTGTCTTTTTTATTATAAATTGTGAGGTTCCCCCTTTTCTCTCCATTCTGCTCATCTGAGGAAGTGGGTTTTGCCCACAAAAGCTCATGATACTATATATATATAATATATAGTATTTGTTAGTCTCTAAGATGCTACAGGACTACTTGTTTTTTAAAGTTTCAGACTAACACAGCTATCCCTTGAGACTTCTGTCTACTGGTAACTGCAAGAGACTGGGAGTTCTGTTCTTTCATTTGTCACTCACCTTTGCTAATGTTTTTAGTATCTCTACCTAAAGTTTCCCACATACAAAAAGTATATAGATGTTTTGTGTCTTCAGTGTTTATAGAAAAGTGACATAAAAGAACAAAGATATCAGCATTCATTTTTTCATTACAATAGAAAAACTGATTGTAGGGTCTCTAGTTGCCTTTCTCTATAATCTGGAATTTTGTGTGTGTTCTATTCTAGGCAGTAAATGCACAAACCCTGCTATCTGATATCCATCAGCAAGTGGAATGCTTCCTGATTGGTTGCAGATGGCCTTCTGAGAGACAACAGTGATGGCTTATTCAAATTCTAGAACAGTACTTTACATTCTCACAGGTCACTTTACATACCATTTTCAAATATTGGCAGATCATGTCATAGTTTTGTTAATTTAATAGTTCCCATTTTAAACATCCTTAAACATGGATTCCTCTTTGAAGAATTTGAGAACAATAAGATGATCCCTTGGAGTAAAGGACCCTGATTTCTCCTATTTGAGGTAATAGCTGATTACTATGGAATTTTTGAAGTCTATATCTAGTTTTACTACTAAATTATGGGGTGTCTAATCTTATAATACTGAAAACATTGGCACTTTTGCTACTGACTTCACTGGAAGCAGAATCAGATCCATACCAGTGGTATTAGCTATTTCATCCAGTATTGTCATTAGAGGAAGTTAAAGGTTTTCTTCCTTTGCAGGGATATTTTATTTAGATAGTGGAAATTCTCCAGAATTTTAGTTCCTTTGATATGAAGTGAGCGGTGATGTGACTAACTGGAGAACATAGAACTGATGGGCACATCTAATTATGTGGCTTTGATATGTGAAATAAGGACCCATGCTGAAGCTGCAATCTGACTCCGTTCTTCCCAGAGAGTGAACTGCATTAAGCAGTCTACATGACCTTTTCCATAGTGTATTGCTTGGCTGGTATGGCATGTGACCAGCTAGATTTTTTTTTCTTTTGTGCAAAGTACAGATACGCAAACAATAAAAAAAAACTATAGCTCTAGTCAAGCAGTAGTATCCTAGCTTACAACTTTTAAACACTAAACCAGTCTTATTTTCTTGTCCCACTCACTGACTGCTAGTTTCTTAAAAGTCTCCATTCTTCTTATACATTGCTAGTGACCATATTAAATAATACTTTTTGCACTCCACCCCAATCTATTATATGATTAGCTAGAAAACAAAATCTTTACATTGAACAACAATAATTAATACACAATAGTAAATTATTCAAGTCTTCTCTCACTGTAAAAGTATGCAGTATGTAGTGAATGCTCTGGCACCAGTGCAAAAGGTTGTGTTTATCTATTAGCCACGGGAGTGCCCCTCCATGTCATTGGTAATTTTTTCTTTTCTTACCATACAAGGACAGAAGTCCTGCTCTACAGCAGAATAACATGAGCCTTATAAGGATAGCTGGTAAACTCTTGTTGAGTAAAGCAGGAAGTAAGAACTTGAACTTTAATCATCCTGTGTTTCCTAAGTATGTTGTATGCTCTGTCACATTAAGAACCGTTTAAACATAATTATTAACTTGTACAATTGCCACTTTCCCAAGGTGTTTTTAGACTTAACATTTGCATGCCCCTACCTCCATAAAAAGTCCTTTTCAAATTAAAATATCCATGTGCTTTTCATAAAACCTCTGGCTGTAAGTGAGAGTCCTTTGTTCTGCAGTTTGTGGCTAGGAAAAGAATACAACAGGAGGTAATACCTACATAGGGATTTTATATTTTTTGGCCCTGGTCCTGCAGTCCTATTGCTCCTATTGACTTCAAATAGATTAGAGAACTGTGCCCTTGTGCATGTGCATAATTTCATTCATTCTAGTGGCAGTTATGCATTAAAGGATAGTTGCTGTGCAGTACATCAGCCATGTATACCTCACACAGTGTGGTCCATGACAAGCATTCCTAGGCAGTATTATAATACAAATGGGCTACGGCTAGACTGGCAAGATTTAGCGCAAATACTCTTCTAAACACAAGAGTTTTTGTGTTAGAGTATTTGAGTAAGAGAGCGTCTATACTGGCATGTGCCTTTGCACAAAAGATTTGCTTTTGCACAAACGCATCCGTGCCAGTGTAGACGCTCTCTTGCGCAAGAAAATTCCGATGGCCATTTTAGCCATCGGGCTTTGTTGCGCAAGAAATTGATGTTACCTGTCTACACTGGCCTCTTGTGCAAGAATACTTGCACAAGAGGACTTATCCCTGAGCAGGAGCGTCAGAGTATTTGCGCAAGAACCACTGATTTCATACAGTAGAATGTCACTGTTCTTGCGCAAATACTCGCGGCCAGTGTAGACACAGCCCATATGTTGTTATGGCTGGAAATGATGGATTCTAAAATCTTTAATTGCAAAAAGGCACTATCTTGTACCTTTGCCATGAAATAAATGTGTATTTTCAGTTAGATGCAATGCCAAGTACCCTATTCACGCTTTCTTGTTATAGCTAAGTTAAATATTGAAATAGTTTTCAGTGCATTAAAAGTCATTTGTATTCCTGGAAGTAATTTTCCTTTTAAAAGAGTAACCCTTTATTCTACTGCCCTTCATATGTTTTGGAAACAATAAGTCTTCATAAGGGAGTTGTTTACAAAATGCTGTCACAGTACTTACTCTGTGACTAAAACAAATGTAGCTTGGAAAATGTCAGTGTGAAAGCTTGTAAAGATAAGAGGCACATAGACTTGATGTAAATATGTTACACCAGAAGATTAAGCAAATATCTAATGCAAGCAAAGCAAAGCTGAGGGTAATATTCAGATAGTATTATTAAAATATGTATCCAAATGCAGTGAGGCCAGTATTCTTGTGATACAGTAACATAAGCTAGACTCTTGTTTTTTAGCATTGTATCTCTTCCTGTGAACAAAACTCTATCCAGTACTCCATGTTTGTTTGTTTTTTAAATATGCTAGTCACTCTTTTTGCGTGCTGAATATCTGCAAATACCCTCACCCTCGTGTTGTAGTTTTGAGTGTTTCCTCTGTACCTTGTCATGGAGATACTGCTTTTAGCCTTTCTTAAGTTCAAGTTTAGCAACTTCTGTTGTTAAAATAAGGGCATTATAGGTAGAAGATATAGAATTTAAATTCTTAATATTACTATGATACATTGTTATGAGTAAAACAGACACAATGTAACTTTGACATTGTTCAGTGTTTTAAACAAAGATTCTCATCTCTGTAATCTGAGAATGTGTGCAAACTGGATACGTAGTAACCAAAAAATAAACATTACTCACAAAACTATTTTGTAAACTTGAGTTTTCTTGGGCACCATTACAGTATGTAGGTACTTCATATAAGGTGAAAGATCAATCTGTTGTCCTCCATTATGAGAGAGCTGCATAGTTAATTGAAGGAAGGAGCAAGCGAGAGAGAGAACACAAGTGAATGTGTGCATCTATAGAGAAAGAAAAACTATTTGTTAGCCACTTAACCAGTTAGACTAGTGTTCTGTTTTACTACATTCTCCCATCTGTTGTTCTAAAACCATCTACATGACTCTTTACCAAAGAAAACTCTTAGGTTGTATTATGGATTCATTTTCTTCACTTCTTTTCCTTAGGCTGAGAGCGATGTAGCTTCTCTGAACAGACGTATCCAGCTGGTTGAGGAAGAGCTGGATCGTGCTCAGGAGCGTTTGGCAACTGCTCTGCAGAAGCTGGAGGAGGCTGAGAAGGCAGCAGATGAGAGTGAAAGGTGAGTATAACCTAGTTCAGGTATTTTTTTGACATGTGTTGTCCAGATGTGGGATAGATACAAATAAATTAACCACTCTTATATGCCTTCTGATTGCATGTAATCGTCTGTGCCTTCATGTGTGCTGATGTCGCTCAGTTACAGTTTATCTGGAGGGACATCTGGAACATGCAGGCTTTAGTCCTGGTTTATATTAGGGATGTGAACAGATAACTGATTAACTTGTTACCCAGTAAACATCGCCCTAAATGAGTGATGCTTACCAGGTAACAGTTAACCAGTACCTGTGCGGGAGGGGCCATACCAGCCCAATTGGTTTGGAATGGCCCCCTGCCTACTCCTCCTGTAATCAGTTAACTGCTTAAACACTATATTGAACCCATTAACTAATTAAATAGGATTTTACATCCCCAGTTTATACATCTGGTTTTGAGGTAATGCTTTTCAGATATTCTGTGACCATTAGGCTTGGTGTTTTGGCTTTTGATACGTTGTGCTCCATGTTGGGAGACCCAAGTTAATCACAACCCCAAACTCTTGTATCCAGAGCCTGGAGTTCAGTGGTGATGTTTCACACTTAGTCTCATGATGGGGGACTCTAGCCTGTCTCTCTCCTGAGCATCAAACTAGAAAGCCCATCCAGAGACTAGCAAGCCTGTAAAGAGACTGCTGCTCTGTCTGGTCATATGGTTGGTGCATTCATGTTGTTTTGTGCTTTTGTGGCTGAGGAAGGGCAGAGAAGCAGTTGGTCCAAATAGGGATTTGAGTTAGGATTTTCAAAAACACTTGTGTGAATTAGGAGCCCAAGGACTAAGTGCTTTTGAAAATCCCACCTGTATATTTGTACAGTTATATTTAATACCCCTGATATAATAGTGTCGTTCATCTGAAATGATCACTACACGTTTTTCAGGCTCGTTCTATGCCGTTACTTATAATGCAGCCACACATTACACAACAGCTGGGAAAGGGAACTTTGGTTTAGCATATTGGAGCAAATCTTGGCTCTTGAAAAAAAGGTTTTGTTTGTTTGGATCAGAAAGGACTTTAGGTTCTAAGGTCTAGATACAGTAGATTAGAGAACTCTGATTTCTACCTTAGAAAAATACCCAGCAGAGATTTGAACATGCAGTGCTAGAGAGTTGAGTCTTATGCTATATATTGTTTGTCACTTTTGAGGGCACCAGAAGCAAGTCCCTTTTGTCATTCACTTTTGAGTGAAGGGAACACTTTCACTGGATTGAAGAAAAGTGTGGTCAGGCTGCTGATTACAAACTTTCATGCAATGCTCAGTTATGCAAGCGGCATAACGAACCACTTCTGTTTAACTCAGACTCCATCAGTTTCTTCTCAGCCTTCTGTATGAAAGCACGCAGGTCGCCAGGGCTAGAGATGAGCAGTTTTGCCTCGCACTCTATCGAATAGAACGACCTCTCGGGCATACTGCAGCCAGCTCATTCCATTGTCATAGAAAGAGGCACTGAAAATGGTGAAGGGACTGGAGAAAAACAAGGAAGCACTAACTCTAGTATTGCCTAATTTTTCTGTCTTTCAGAGGAATGAAGGTCATTGAGAACAGAGCCCAGAAGGATGAGGAGAAAATGGAAATCCAAGAGATCCAGCTTAAAGAGGCCAAGCACATTGCTGAAGAGGCTGACCGCAAGTATGAAGAGGTCTGTTCCTGAGTGCATATCAAAGAGCTGAGGCCTTACAGACTTTGATTATGCTTTTCTCCTTTGTTTGCTTTCAAGTACAAGAGGTCACAAGCATCTCTGTCAGTAAGAGAGTGGTTCTGTTCCCAGAGAAATAGGTCCCAAGTGTTTCAAGAGGCAAGACTGTGCTTTGTCTAAGATGTGATACAGACTCATATTCCACGGGACAGTAGGAGTGGAGATCTGTGTTAATGCCATAGCAGAGAGTAGCGCACTACACAGAACCATATTTGATAAAATGGCACCAAAAAATGGCCAATAATAGCACAGACATGTTGGCCTGTCCATCATCCTGATATGTGATATCATGACTTCGCATACCAAGATGATGCTGCGCCAGCTATGATTGCTCCAAAATGGCTGAGGGAACGAAGAATCGCAGCTATTTTCAGAGAGGCTATAAAAAGGAAAACTTATTTTTAAGCTGTCGTGTTGATGAATGGAAGTTGGGGACATGAAAAATCTGGTCAGGTGATGTACTCCGACCCATATATGTAGCAAGGGTCTAGTGCAGCCAGGAATCCAATGGATTTCCTTGAATTAGTAATTCAGAGAGAAATGTATTGTCCCTGTATGTAGAATATGCAAGACTTTGGCTGAACTAGCATATAGTGTGATTTTGTTTTGTTTTCGTCTTATTTGTCTTCCTCTAGGTGGCTCGTAAGCTGGTGATCATTGAGAGTGATCTGGAGCGTGCCGAGGAACGGGCTGAGCTCTCAGAAGGGTAAGTGCTGTGACTTCCCAGACAGGTGTGTGAGATGCTACAAGACGGTGATTGTACTTGCATGAAAAGTTGGCAGTACACTTCTTTGTGTTCAGCTCCAAGCTATGTTATGCTCATTTACTGTAATGATTGAGATAAATGTTAAACACCAAAGTAAATGTGTGTAAGGGGGGGGCGAGTGTGTTTTTGTCACTGCATGTCCTACCTGCACACTGATTTTGTGAATGGCTTTTGTGCATTTCATATGTTCACTAACAGCCAAGTCCGACAGCTGGAAGAACAATTAAGAATAATGGATCAAACCTTGAAAGCATTAATGGCTGCAGAGGATAAGGTACTGATACTAATATACAGTTTTTAGGTTTAACTGCAACCCAAGTCTTCGAGCTTTCATAGCCCAGTAGTTCACTCAGTAATGATGACTGAACCTTCACTGCACTCTTTACTCTCTTTGCATCTTGCTTTGGTGGCTTTCTTTGGTCTGTTTTATTTAACCTTTTACAACTGATCTTTTGGCAGCCAAAAAGAAGCTGAACTATCTTCTTCTATTTACAAATTCTGTCAGTACTTCCAAGTAAGCCTGATGCTATAGATAACTGGTTTGTAATGGGCTTTGTTTTTTGAAAGAAAATTCTGGCATTGTAATTAATTGCTCTCAGTCTGCGATGGATTCAGCTGCTTTTTAGGCCGTTCTTTTGCTCTGTTATTCAGTTTTCATTTTTCTCAAATTCTTCCCCCTTTTTTCTATTTCTTTGGCTTGATTGCCCACCTGTACCCTTTCCTGCCTGTGTTCCAAAATAATAGCAAATGTGCTGAGCTTGAAGAGGAGTTGAAAACTGTGACCAACAACCTGAAGTCGCTGGAGGCTCAGGCTGAAAAGGTAGGCTAGAGCCTTAAAACCCCAATGGCCTGGATTTTTATTCATTTTCCTTAAATGTTTACACTGTATTTCAGCAAGGCTTTTGGTACATTAATCCAAGTACATAATGGTATTTAAATATACATATCAATTAATTATCCATCAGTGTTATTTAACATTTTATATGCTATGAAATGCAATTTGTGGGCCAAGATGTTTAATTTTTTTCCAACTCGTCCTCCTTTAACGTTATAGTACCAGATGTTGTCCAGAGTTACTTGGGCAAAAAATTGGCCCTTTTAATAAATGAAAGCAAGATGGTTATGTCTTGAAAGATAAAATGAAGTACATCCAACACTAGGACTGGTATATCATTACAATGTAAGATTGTCATACATGCTGTATTTTCACATAGGGAATGTTTGGTCTGATATCTCATGCCCTTTCTAATTACAGTACTCACAGAAGGAAGACAAATATGAAGAGGAGATTAAGATCCTGACTGACAAACTGAAGGAGGTAAAATTAGAGCAGTCCTGTATCAATGGATCTTACAATACTTCTCTGATAAATGTGAAATTAACTTGTCAGGGTGGAAAATGGCATAATGTTAGGTGCCAGAATCAAAGTTACAGAGCACTAGATAATATTGAAGGATGCTTCTGATTTTACATCTATTTCCTATTATTCTGTCATTGTACAGAACTTTTTCCCATATCATTTCTGCCTTTGCATTTGTAAATACTATGAAAGTTGTGTGTCGTGTATAGTTTTTGACCTTGCATGTTTTTTTATCTCCAGGCTGAGACCCGTGCTGAATTTGCAGAGAGGTCAGTAACCAAGCTAGAGAAAAGCATCGACGACTTAGAAGGTATGACTGCTTTATTTTTCACACTTCCTGCAGAATGCAAAGCTGATATTCGCTCCTGGGCTTCATCTAGTGCCCAGTCCTACAAATCTTTATTTCATGTGACTAGTCCCATGAAAATAAGGATGGACAGGATAAGACTATAAATAAATGAAGTATTTTCCAATCCAAATTTATTACTCATTTAAACTTTTTAGCTGGACAATGTTTTGCTCTTGCCTGTTTCTTTTTCTTTGATATTCTAAGACTTTTGTTTCTTTAAACTCTTCTATTTCAATATTCAGATAAGGAAAATGATCACATGGTATGAATATGGTAGTTTTAATTATTTCAAAATATCAGCAACCAGTAGTATGTTGTTTGTTGTAATGAGGAATGTCAAGTTTATGACGGAGACAAGTGCAGGTCAGGGCAACTATTTCACTGCATAGAACAGTGGCTATTTTCGGCTATTTAAGTTAATGGCTTATTTACACATACAGGAGCACAGCCTATTTAATTCCCCAAATTTGATTTATAGGGCAATCAGAATTAGGGATGTGAACAGGTAGCCAGTCACCTAATAAACATCACCCTTAACCGTGATGCTTACCAGGTAATGGTTAACCATTACCTGGGAGCAGACCACTGCCCGGCCTGGGAGTCTGCATCCTTGCATGGGGAGGGGTTGGGTACAGAAGTGGCAGCCAAAAGCCAGCTGGCTGTCAGCCCTCCCCACCTCCACTACTGCTGCTTCCAGTACCCAGCCCATGAGCCTGGAAAGACTAGGAGCTGGCAGCCTTCCCTCTCTACTGCTGATGCTTCCAACCCTGCTTGAGGTAGCCCAATGTGAGAAAGGAAGGAGCTGGGCTGGAACTGCTCCTGCCTATTTCATGGGGGCCACTCCAGCCCAGCCATAACAGGTAGGGGGGCTGCTCTAGCAGGCTGGAACAGTCCCTGCCCCCACCTCCCTCCATTCAATCAGCTAACAAGCATATTTAACCATTTAATTAATTAAATGAGATTTTACATCCCGAATCAGAATTGTAGTAAGGTGCTCTTTTATCTTGAGAATAGAATTCAGTCGTGCTTTGTAATTAAAGATTAAACTATATGAAATTTACTCCTAACATTGTTTTAACTTTAAATTAAATATTGTAAGAAGTGTAATTGCTTGATATAAGAAGTGAACTTGGTGTGAGAGGTCTTTATTTATGGTCACTTTCTCAGTTAGAAAAATTAGAGAGAGAGAGAGAGAAGAAAATTAAGATGCTTGGGAAGAATTAAACCTCTGGAAAAGCCTGAGTGTATGACATTATACAAAACCCAAAACACGTTTTAAAGGCGGAAGCGAAACACCTCTTCTCCCTAAGCACCATTTTCAAATCTCTTCCCTCTGTTGCTGTCTAGTAGCTTATTGCATACACACAACAAATGGGAATTATTTTTTCTTTTCACACTTTATTTTCTTTAGCTTTGTATCTCAGCTTGGCTTATTGATGAGGCAGTCATTTTAATTGACTTTTCACATAAAGCTTTTCACCATTTGTATTCCTTTCTAATGTATATATTGTTTGCTTTCTTTGCCTGCCATGCTACTTCCTTCTGTGCACTGTTTCCCTTTCTTGATGCTGTTTCCGGATGGTGTCCCATGCCACTACCTTCACCTCCCATCACCTGCTCATTCTCCATTCCCTTTCACCTCTGCCTTCTCTGGTGAATGTTAGATGAGTTATATTCTCAGAAACTGAAGTACAAAGCAATCAGCGAGGAGCTGGACCACGCTCTCAATGATATGACTTCCATGTAAATGTCTTCTCAGCCCGTGCCTGCACCTGCTTCTTTACCCTCATGATTGTTCCATTACAGCCTTGCAAAAATTATACTTGCTCACTCTTTGGGAGGTGGGGAATAAATTGAATGGATGTGATTCGGTGTTAAAGCATTGTCAGTATTTTCTTCATCATGCTAACAGGTGGACAAGTATTGTGCCTGGTCTGGTAAATGTCCGGACAGTTTTGCAAGGCTGGCTTATCAATTCACTTATACCCTTTTCTTTTGTATCCATAAACCCTCTTCCCCTTGCAGTTGTCTGGCTTGGTTCTCTTTGCAAGTTCTTTTACTTTCCCCTTTTGAGTTCACTTCTGTTCAAGAGTTTCTACAGTGCTCATCATTCTGAAGTTGCCAAAATATACGAATCTCCGTACATGCCGTACAGAGTGTACTTTCTATAGAGAATGTTTTCCATTTTGTCATAGTGAACTTTTAGATCTTTTTTTTTTTTTTAATAGAATGTCACTTCTATTTGGGATGTGGGTTGTTGCCGTGAAAAGTTTTGAAAAATAAACCTTCACACATTTGGTGATGGTGAAATAAAGTAATTTGAGAGAAAAGGTGGCAGAAATGTGGAGTATTGCTTGAGTTAAAGGGCAGAAGTTTTTACTTTTAGTAAAAAAAAAAAAAACCAAGAAGTGGTAACATTGCAGGTTACACAGGGTGTGACAGAACAGTGTCTTCGGTGGCATAGTGTTGTTTCAAGTAGATTGAATCTTCATGTGTGCTTTGAAACATTGAACAGAAGTTTACTATACTGAAATCTTCACATTCTTTCTTCCCTCCCTATATTAATAACGCATGTGCATTAAGTTTTTAAACTTGAGATCAGAAAACCTGAATACTCATGGCTCTGTCTAAAGCCGTGGTGTCCAATATGCTAGCCACATGTTGTTAGTTAGCTGGTTGAGTGTGGCTAGTTTGCTATAGCAGTAGTCACTATTGCTCCAGAACTGGTTGGACACCACGAGTCTAAAGCATACCTAATTGTTGATGTTACTTTCGATTTCTACACTTCAGTTTCAGAGGTCAACGCGTTTTCAGTGAGCTTTAGCCTTTGGTGAAAGCAGGGGTGAGGAAGATTTTGGGGGGGTTGGGGGCCACCGACCAACAGAAAAGTCAGTTGGGGACCACATACAAGTGAGAAACAAAATAAAACCCTCACTGATCAGGCTCCCAACAGAGAAGCCAGGCCGGGGGGGAGGGGAAGAGACATTCCCCTCGCTCACGCAAGATGGGGGGCGCTGAGGGTCAGAGTTCCTGCCCATCCAGGACTATATTAACTCTGGGGGCCCAGGGCTAGTAGATTTTGTGGGCACTCCTAGGTTCTGTGTTAGGGCCAAAATGAGGAGTTTGTAGGAGGGGGCTTCTGGAGAACAGGTTGGGGTGATCTGGTCCGGTGATAGGGTGCAGGAAAGGGCTGGGCGGTTGGGTCTGGGAAGGAGGAAGGGGTTTTGGGAAGCTTACCTGGTGCAGCTCCTGGGAGTGGGGGGAAAACAGGTGGCTCTGTGCTAACTTCCTTGCACTGCTGTTACCTCAGCCGGGCATGAAAGGGGGTACGCGGCTTCCTCCCCCTGCCAGGCAGAGTCTTTAGTACCAGCTTTCTGCTGCTTCCCTCCACTGAAGGGGGAGAGAGCCCCAAGCTTCATGGGCCAGAACCAGCCCTGGACCCTAGGTTCCTCTCCCTGGATTAGAGCCAACAATGTTCTTTGCATGTATTGAAGGTTTTACATTCTCCACCCCCCGCGCTTAACTTTTTTCTAATTTTCAAGCATTAGAACTCTGGTTGTGATCTAATACCATTTTTGTATGTTTTGATTCTAAGCCCAGAAATACAATTCCACACAGTGATTTATCACCCTAATATTCTGGTAGTTTGTAGGACTATAACAGCGTTATCTTCATTTATAGCATGCAGTGACTTGCATGCAACGTCTTCTTGCAAACAATTGTAGAATAGCATAAATTGGGGAGATTTTCAGTTTGAAAGTAGGCTTAAAATCTGATGCAGTGCCATACACTGACGATTTCATAAGTATATCTGCATTTCTGTAATTGGCTTTGACTTTATAGGTAACTTTTTTCATAAATGGAGTTTAACAAATGGGAAAAAAATCAGGAATTGAGACTCAACTCTAAATACATTTCTCCATATATATTTAAATGAAGGCACTTCTATAATGTTCCAAAAGGAGGTGGGGTGTGATATTTCTCTAGTAATCAGCTTGGCATGTTTGCATTCACTGTGCTGTTGCTGCTGCTTTTTGAGTTCTATTATGCCACTTTTATTTCCCACGTTTTATCTTCATGCAGATAAATTTCTTTGCTTCACCTCTCCAAAGATACCTTCATCAAGCTGGATAAACCGTCTTTACAAGCTCTTGGATGTTTCACGGGTTCATTGTCCTATCCTCCAGCTTATTCTTCCTTTTTAGCATCCTGGCTGAGGATATTGCTCTCTTTGTGCCTTCTATTGTACAGAAACTCTACTTCTTTTAATGTAAAATAAACATCCCACTATGTGAGCTGTATCCCTTTTGCTATTCCTTTGCCTTTTATTTATTTAAATTAAAGATCTGCTTTTTTGCATTAGGGATTTATTTTTTATTTTATTTTTCTGCTGCCTCACACTCCCCCCGTTTCTGACTCCCGCAAACATCTTGCCAGAGAATCAACAATACAAAGTAGCAAAATGAAAAATACCAGGCTGTAACAATGCTATTCTTGGCTATCTTTAATTGGTTGCTTTTGTCATGTAGTCCTCATTTTCTCTCAAATTAAAATTCAGTTTATATGACTTTTTCTTAGACTTACTGGGCTTTTTAGAGTCTTTTATTGTTGGGCCAAAATCTGCAAGGACATAGCTCTCACTGGGGTCATTTGGTCGTGGGAATACAGCTGAGGACAGTTTGGCCCTTTAAATGCTTGACAGTTATGTTTTTCTAGAGTCCAAAATTTCCCACCAGTTTGAAGTCTTGATGTGGAAGACTTCCTGAGTTATATAAATTTGTTGTTTAACTTCTAGTAAAAGATCCTTTATAGGATTTTTCACTTGATAATCTGTTTTCCTCCCGGAATAGGATAACCAAATGTCCTTATCTGTGTTCATTAACAACTTGGATTATGGAATTTTTAAAAATTGATTCATCTATCACCATAGGTGCTAATAGTTTACTTTTTACATTTCACAGGGGAAATTAAAATACAATAATTTCACTTTTATTCTTAGTGAGTGTCACAGACAGCTAGTGCAAACCTTCAAATCTGAATTGCAGAGATTTCAGAGGAATGGTTTTAAATCGGAACAAAAAATTCTTATAATTGGAATTAATTGTTAAATCATTTTCATATATAAGTAAAATGCTTCCATTGATACCAGATTTTATAAAGTTTTGTCTGACAAAACCCAAATGCTGGGTTCAGATTGACCTGACAGTGTTCCTTTTAAAGATAAAACGTTAAAGACAGACATTTTTTGCTCTCCTACTGTAATGTACAACTGAGCCTTAATGTTGCTTCAGGAGGACTTATATTCATTGTAACTATTTTAACTTCATTTCCTTCACAATGGAAAAAGTCCCTTTTCTCTACTAGCTTTACATTAAAGTGAATATCAATTTAAACTGAACTGACTACTAAGTATTCCTTTCATTTGATTTTGTTGCTAAAGTGCCAATGCTCAAAATGTTAATAAGCTTTGGTCAATGTACTTGAGGGTGGTCCATTTAAAAGTTGTGAAACAGTCACTTTTTAATGTGGCTATGTTTTCATTCCTGTTAAAAAGATACCACCAAATATCCTCATACAGAGCTTTTTCATTTATATTGTTAATTCTTGCCTTTAGTTGCAATCCTCCATGAAGCTTGAAAATGCTTCCTTCATCCTTCCCTGCTGTTTTTCCCAATTAATTAATTGGGGGGAGGGAGAGCTCAGTGGTTTGAGCATTGGCCTGCTAAATGCAGGGTTGTGAGTTCAATCCTTGAGATGGCCATATAGGGATCTGGGGTAAATCTGTCAGGGATGGTACTTGGTCCTGCTGTGAAAGCAGGGGACTGGACTCAATGACCTTTCAGGGTCCCTTCCTGTTCTATGAGATAGGTATATCTCCTCACTCCCACCACATTTTGAATAGAGTTGGCAATAACTTCTCCCCCTTTCTTTAATAACTTCTGCTTGTGCTATCCCATCATATCATTATGTCTGTTTGTTCCCCCACATTACTGCCTATTAGAAAAAGCTCAGATTTGACTATGCCCTTGCGCAACTAGTTATTTTAGGTCTAGTCCTAATTTGGGTACAAAGATTGGGAATCCTTACCTCAATGATTTATATAACTTTGGTTTCGATTAATGCAGGTAAACATTCAGATTATAATTCAGATTGTAACATACTATTGGCTGTATAATGCTAAATACATTTTGGCATTTGGAATGGAAGCTTAGTTACATCTAGATTTTGGGTACTGCTTCCAAGTATGTTTTAATATAAAATATTGAAGTGGGCAAAGAGGAAATAAGAGTGGAACTGAGGCAGTCTGGGAGCGGTGTACTGGTTTATCCTCTGATCTTATTCTCTGGTTAATGGAGCTTGGGCTCTCAGGAGGAACAATTGGTGATAGTTTGTAGGATGCACTTCTGCAATGAGACACATTTGTTTCTTGGCCTTGCCATCTTTGTGTGGGGCTGGACCCCTACCTTCTAGCGCAGGGTGGGGAACCTGTAGCCTGCAGGCCAGTTCTGGCTCTCGACGTCCTGTGATCCAGCCGGTGGATTCTGCTTGGCAGGGGGAAGGAACTGGCTCTGTGCACTGCAGGGAAGCGTTCCCTGCAGGCACTCTTGCTCCCTTGCCCCCTGTCATTCCCCTAGGCTGAAAAGCATGGCCAATGGGAGCAGCGGAGAGTAGTGCAACCCAATCCCCTGCCCTTATTTTCCCCTTCCCACCCCTACCCTGAGCCCACTCCTTCAGCCTCCCTCCCGCCCAGACCACACACCACCACCTTGATCCTGCACCCTACCTCTTAACCTGTACCTTCACCCCCAGCTCAGTCCTGCTCCCCAGCACCCTCTCCCTCACACCTGAATGCCTAATTTTTGTCCCACTCCAGAGCATAGGGAGGCCCCACAAAGTCTCCTAGCTCTAGGCCCCCAGAAGAGTTAATCAGCTCTGGGGGTAAACTCGATTCTCCCCCCAACCCTCATTGGCTAGAGCTCGGGGGGAGTATTTTTTTTTTCTCTCAACCCACACAAAAAAGGTTCCCCACGCTTGTTCTAGTGGAAAAGCATCAGGGAGGGTAAAAGAAACAAAATGGATGGTTCTCCCCAGCTGAATAATTTGTGGCGTAAGCACGTTCAGAAACCTGTGTCGACCGGGCTCAGAATTCACCACCAAACTATCAATAAAAATACACAAAAAATGAAAGAGAAACTGAATGCAACTTCATGGAATTTCCCTTTCTGGATTTAATATCTGAAATATATGGTAGCTGTTGCTGTTTTGTCCAATCTTGAAAACTACTGACAGTCCTTTTCCATATTCAAGTAACATATTCACCTGTAACTCGCAATGACTTTGTGAAAGCTGTCAGAAGGGTTTTTTAGTCCAGTTGAAAGGCTTCATAACTTGTCAGTAGTTGAGAAGTAAATGTTCTCTTTCTAAAGTATCATTTCAGCTACCAAATTATGCAATAAAGGGAAGCATTTAGGGCTTGAGAAAATTCCTGTTGAACTCAATGGCAAAACTCTAGTGGAAGACTCAGTGGAAAAGTTCCAGTGATTTCCGTGTGACTTGGACTGAGCCAAAATAGTATGCTGTTGACTAATGCTTTTCTGCTGCAGGGAAGGCTGATTATACTATTGCTTTTAGTTAGCTAGTACTGAGTATGATTTTTGCCACCTCTTCTGCATTTGCAAGGACTCAATGACATTCATAAAACAAGCAAAGCCTATGTACATTGCTTGTGTATGTGAATTCAGGCTAGGATGTTTATACTATATTTCATGTGGCTTCACTGGGAATTTCATAGAAGTTGTCCTATTTTTTTCTGTTTTTCCTGACTCACAAGCGTACCCCACACAAGGGGCCTTAGAGAAGTCCTTTCTTTATAGATCGTAAGCTGTTTTCTTGGGTTTTGAAGTAGGTATTTAGTCATCAGAAAACTAGAATATAAAGGGATTCCTAAGGTAAAGCATTTCTTTAATGTGTAACTACTGAACTGTCTGTTGTGTGACTAGTTTCTTTATTAACTCTTTGCTCTCCTGTTTCTGTCTAATCTTTGTTCATTCTGCCTCTCTTTTTCTTTTAACCTGCTTGCTGACTGTACAGACCAGCTCTACCAGCAACTTGAGCAAAACAGTCGCCTAACTAATGAATTAAAGCTGGCATTGAATGAGGATTAAATTTTAGTGTGAATAAACTTAGTTGTGTCTAAACAAACTTAATTTGAAGTTCTTCAAGAATGAATGAGTCAAGGTAGAAATATGCAAGAAACCTGTAAATTGATTTCCAAGATATTGTAATGGCTGTAAATTTATGGATGAAATGATCAATTCACTTTTGGGGCAAAAGTGGAAGAAATAACCCATCTGATAAGGCTCTGTCTTGGAGCAGTCACAAATTCTTTGTTTGCCTGTGTTAAAGTTGATATTTTAAAAACCAACCCCCCTCTTTGTAGAAAGAACATAATCCTTTTTAGCTGATGTCACAAATTAAGAGTTTTATTGGTAACTAGGGAAGGAAAAATATTACCTTAAGATTCAGATTTCAAAACCAGAATAAAATATATTCCCAGCTGTTTTGTGTCTGGAAATGTAATGCATTGTTTTGAGTTACAATAAAATTGGATTGTAATTGACTAAAAAACGGCTTTGAAATAGGAACCCCTTTTGGAAATATCTGATCAGTTTAGAGGTATGCTTGCATTAGAATAAAGTTGTTTTTCCTGCTACCAGAACATTGTGCTCACATACTATATTAAGTAAGAGTGTTAAATGACTGTTCTATTAAAAAAAAAAAAGTGTGCATGCAACATAAAACTACTAACTGCCAATAAAATGCTGTTATAACATCTGATAAAACTTGTTAATTTCAGTTTTTTGGTTCTTTTGTTCTCATTCTCTGCAAGTTCTGAATTTATAATGCGACTTCAACAGTATAGAAATGCCAAAAATACAGATTAACAAATTCCGTCATTTATTGTTGCCCCATGTTCCTTAAAAAAGTTTAAATCATCTTATTCTCATAGCACATGGCTTCTGGAACTTACATAAATCTAGTATCTTTTTGGCAATGTGTGGTTTTTTTTAACAAATATAGCTGCAGAACAGTTCAAAACTTGCATCACTTGCAATTCATTTGTTAGTTTGGACTTTTTCCTAGTTGTCTTGGTTGGGAATATTGGTATTAATGAGCATGCACATATCTTATCATAATAAACTCCTTCATTACGTGTGGTGATTGCATGTCTTCCTGTATAGATAATTGATGTGTCCAAAGAGCAGCTATTCACATTTTGATTTTCTAATCCCGTAACAGAGAAAGTGGCGCATGCCAAAGAAGAAAACCTTAGTATGCATCAGATGTTGGATCAAACTTTACTGGAGTTAAACAACATGTGAAAACCTCCTTAGCTGCGACCACATATCTGTTTTTGTTTTTTTTACACCTGCTTGCCATGAAACCCCTTAAACATGTTTTCATTTTCGTTTCATCACAGTCACAGAAACATCTGCTGAATACAGGCAGGGGTCAGGGAAACACCAAAGTGGGCAAGCCATAAGCAGGTTGAACTATTCTATTATGGTTTCAATGTGCCATTTTCCAATGTAATGTTGCCTACACTTTGTAGAGAGTTCAGCAACACCAGCATGCTTAGTTTGTCCAGGAATCCTTGATGTGTCAGAGTATCCCACCTCAAGTGCCAGCTATATATTTAACAAGACAGTTAACGCTGAAGAGACAAATCAGGTGTGTACTGGTGCTACTTTGAACAAAAGGTCGGGCTGTAGCCTTTTGTTTGATATTGTACAATTCACAAGTTTATCCAGCATGGTAATTTATTTTATCTGGGTTTTATTGAGCTGTGCTAATTCAATAACACCAAGGATTTGTGAGCCACATAAAATATTTAAGACTTTTTTGGTTTTTATTTTGTGTATTTGCAGCTCATTACAAATGTGTAGGTCAGCATTTCAACTTGAGTATCCATTCCATTGTATTTTTCATGTTGAAATGAAAGATTCAGTAAATTCAGGAGAAAACATAAATTTGGGAGACTATTTTAAAATGTATTTTATTTGTGTGGGAGTTGGGGGGAATTTATAAATTGGTATTTGTCTCACTTTATTTTACACACACGTTGAGCAGTTTTAAAAGTATACCTGTATGTAAACATTGTATAATGATATGGAATAAAACGCACATTTTAGGACATTTTTTAAAATGTTGCTGTCCTGTGATTTATATTTTTAATCTTTTAGTCTTTTTGTTTATGTGGAGCATGCTTGTGGCTCATTGGTACAAACAATATGAACAAGTTGGCTTTCCACTTTCTCTAACAGTAAAGTGAAAACAATGCCAAAATGAATAACATTATGGTTTGTTTGTACTATTGCTAGAGGGTCACTAT